CCCGGCGCCGAGCTCTGGCCGGCCCCGTGCGCCTGCCGTGCCCTCGGCGCAGCCCCCGAAAAGCTTGCCTTTTGGAGCGCTGGAGCAAAGTTGCTTGGTGCCTTTTGGGCTCCTGTGCATGCTAGCAGCGAGGACAACTGGGGTGCCATCCCTGCCATGCAGCCTGGACCGGGGTCGGGGCTTCAGTGTCCCAGCACCCGCTGACAGCCTCTGGGGACGTGCGCATCCTCACGCCCACTTATCTTCCTGTCACTGGGACGTAGAGGCGGGAGACTTTTTTTTTTTTTCCCTCCCTCTAAAGCTGTAAAGCCGTTGAGATCGGTGTCTAAACTTCCTTGACAAATCCGTTGCAGGCAGCAGAATTGTAGAATCAGACAAGATGAGACAAGTGACTGCCCTAGGCTACAGGATCAGCGATGTGGCCTGACAACCCGCTGGGCTTTCTCACGAGGTTTTTATCTGGATAAGGGGTAGAATGATGGTGTGGATTGTGCCAAATAACGTTTTAAGGCTGCCAGTACTCAAATTGAGTTCACAGAGCTATGTGTGGTTTTTCTTTTTTTAATGACTGTGCTTTTAAAAATGTTTTCTTTCTTTACCCTTCTTGTAGATTTCCTTCCTCACTATGTGTTGGACTTGGCCAGGTTAGTTGGAATCCTCAGCATGACGTGGTTTATGTTGTCAGGACTTGTGTGTGTGTGTCTTTATATGTAGAACAGTGAATCTGTGTTCTCTGTTTACAGATGGTGGCCACAGTGGCAGTGCTCTGGGTGGGAAAGGCGCTCAGAGTAGTCAAGTTTCCTGACTTTGACAGAAATGTACCTCGAAAGGTAAAAGAAAAAAAAAAGTGATACTTTGTCAAAAGAAGTCATTCTATTATTTTATCAGTACCTTGCATGTTTAAAAATGGTAGTCTCAAAACTGCCCTATATATAGTGCATGTAAGGAAGGTGAAAAATAAATGTAGTGTTAAATTCCACAGAATCTTATAAATTAAGGGAAAAAAATCCTAGGAATCTTCTGCTCTAAGTAGTGCACACTTGTTGGGAATACAAGAGTATTTTGCAGTATCCATCAAATCTAGCTTTTGTATCCTGCATTCACTATTCTTGGGTTTAGTTTCATAGTCTGTCTGTTTCTGCTTGACCCCAGGTGAGGATGAAAGCCTTTCCTATTTCTGATGACATTAGGACCATGGACAAATATTTTTAAATATATTTGAAAGTAAATGATGTTTCTGTGCCACTTTGGTTTATAATATACACATTTCTGTTTCTTTTCTCCATTGCCCTCCTCCCTCTCTCTTTCTACCAGAGTAACGCAGTTTATTCAAGAGTAGTTAGTGTTTGGGTGTTTCCTGGTGGTCACAGTCAGATGTGAGAACTAGTCTTATGTTTTAAGTGGGAAGAATTTGATCACATAAGTAAGAGTGTTTCTGTTGGAAAGGGTTTGGTTTTAGCTGCCTTTATTACTGAGCTTTGTTATCCCTCTTTAATTTTCTAGACGTTTCCACTACCTCTACTATATTTTGGGAACCAAATCACGGGACTGTTCAGCACAAAGAAACTGAAGTATGAATAACTTTATTTTACTAGTGAGGTTAATATAATGTATTTTTAAAACTACTTGAATGTCAAATATTTAACACATGGTTATTGAGTCTGGAAAGAAATGAAAAGGATCAGAAAAGCGTCTTACTACTAAATAATGAGGGTCGCACCAAAGGTTTTAGTTTAAGTGTTTTTACTTTGAAGAGAAAGAGTTTTTTGTTTTGTTAGGAGTCTTAAAATGTTGTAAAATGCTGGGTAGGAGATTTTCCTTGTTTTTCCAGACCTGTAGTAGTGAAGGATATATGGTAGGCTGTTGGGATTTCAATTCTTTAATATAGTTCATAAACATTATATTTTAGGCGTATTACAACAAAGTCAGAGGGTGGGCGTGAGAACTTTTGTAGTTTTTCTTGTAATGTGAAGTAAAGTGACATCAGATAGAACTCTGATACAAATATGATTAGTATCTTACTCTATGTCAGTGTGACTGTAGAGGTAGCATATTCACTTTTAGAAGCAAGAGTTCTGTACTCTATGATAACACTCACTATCCTTACAATTCTTGGCTTCTCCACTTACAGAGTGTAGTATGTATGTATTGGATATGTGTAATATTAAAACGATACACATAGAGAAATCATTTAATAGACACGTGGCTTTACTGCTTCCATATGGACTTAAGCCATAAGTATAGGATGATTATAAAACAGTATGGAGAAATCTCTTATGATCAGAGTCAAAGTGTTTTTCATTTTCTCCTTTTTTGAACTCAAGAAACCTGATAGAATGACTAAGATGCTATCTCTGGGGAGAATTCCAAGGAAGTCAAATTTATCCTGGGTGGGGCATGGCTTTCCATCTCATTACCCACTTGGAAAGAAATGCTGGCCTGCTGCAAAGTGCTGTTTGTGTGGAGTTTGCTTTTCTCATCCTTTGTCATCCGCCTATCCATCCATTCACATTCTGTCTTCTAATGCCAGCTAAACATAAGGCACTTTGGGGTGAGATAAGATATATTCAGAAATAACTATATTGCAAGATAGGTTTGATTAGGTACGTAAAATGTTCTGAGAATTAAGAGGAATACAAAATTATTTCCACAAAAGGACAGTCAAGGAATGTTTCATGGGATAAGATTTTCATAGATGTCTTTCGGGGAGTCTAGGTAGTGGGTAGGAAGGTCAGTCCAGTGAAGAAAGGAAAAGAAAGCTTTCTTTTGTTAAAGACTAACAAGGTTCTGTACAGCTCAGGGTGTAGAGTAAAATAAAAAAGTAATTGTTAATCTGTGATAATCGATGCATGATTTCTGGCATTTTATAGTTTATTACTTCTTCCATTTAATAGTTTAAAAAAGCTACTTTTAGGCTTTATTATTATTTTTTTAAAGAATTATTTTATTTAACTTTATTTATTTTTTAAAATTTGACCAGAGAGGGACAGAGCAAGAGAGAGGGACAAAGGGAGAGAGGGAAAGTGAGAAAGCAAGCCACCAGGTCCGGAACTCGAACTACGGTCAGCCATGTGGGAGTCCAGCAGCCTTAGCCACCATGCCACATGCTGGCCTCCTACTTTTAGGCTTTCAATAAGAATTATGTCTACAGTAGTAAGGATTAATCAGCATGAAATTTCTATAATGGAAGAAAGAGATTGGCATTTTAAACTACCAATTTGGAAAAATCTTGGTTTACAAATATTGCTATACTTTATTTTACTTAATTGTCTATTTTTTTGCAGCTTGCCAATGTTTACAGTTCTGAGAAGGTTCTCTATCCTGTTTACAATGTTTGCTGAAGGAGTTTTACTCAAGTAAGTTCAATTGCTAATACATCTATTCTTTAAGCAAGTTTAATCACCTTGAAAAGGTATCTAGCATATATGAGATGTTAAAATTATTTGCATTGTTTCTACTTCAACTTTTGAGTTTAAGCACCTTTCTCCCTTTGCTGTTGACTTGTTATTTTATGGGTGCAGTAGTTGGGAAGATGAGGAATTGGAATTAAAAGCTCTTTGGAGTATAAGATTTACTTTGTAGAATTCCTGTACCTACTGTGACCACCGAGCGAAGCAGATTCTGCAACCAGAATCATAGCTATAGGTTTTAAATAGTGTTTGTGTCTTGGTTACTTTTACTACAAATAGATGTGATGTTTTCCTATTTAAAAGGAATTATGATTTACAAGCATTGAAATTAACAATAATAAGTGGTAAAATTAAGACAAAAATGAGTGTGATTATATGTGTGACAAAGTAAGTTTTTGTTTCAGAAGAGTTCTTTTAAGTATTTTCTTGGAAGCATTTGAAATATAATTGTAGCTTTAATTTAAAGAAAATAACATGGTTTTTCTTATTTGTTTGTTTTGCTTATGTTGTAAACTGATTCTATGTGAATAGTTGAAGTCATGTATGTATTTTTAAATTATTTTTTAGGAAGACTTTTTCATGGGGTATTAAAATGACTGTATTTGCAATGATTATTGGAGCCTTTGTAGCTGCCAGGTAAGATGTGGGCTTAGACACTGTCAGTAATTACTGATAAAAGGTCAATTATAAAAAATGAGAATCATATCTTTGAAAAGCATTAAAAAAGACTCTTCTTTAACCAATAGTTTAAATCTTTTTGATTGTATCAAGGCTGGGAAAATTCAGATTCTTGGGACTCTTAAAAGTTAAATTCATATAATTTAAGATTTGTTACTTGTTTCTACTTATTGACCACATAGTTTGTACTACACAATATATTCAGCATTTTACATGTTTACAACAACTCTGAAAGTGGTATATGTATAATTTTCCTATTTCGTAGTTGAGGAAACTAAAGCTTTAGTTTACTAACTTGCGTTTAAGGTCACCCAGATAGTAAACATCAGGGCAAGAGTTTGAATCTGTACCTGACTTCAAAGCCAAATCTGCACCTGGCATTCTGTTACTTTGCATGCTGCTAAAGACTACAGTGTCTGCCTTTTTGTGAGGTGAGGAAAATGATAATGAGTCATTTGCCCTTCTGGAATAATGAATAATAGTATCACTTACTTGACATTACTTAAGATATATCAGAAATGTTATAATAGACATTCCGTTAATATACTACAGCTTTTAAAGCTTAAGTTTTAGTTTTAAAACTATGTTGCTGGACTCCCACATAGTCTACCTTGGTTTGAGTCCCAGACCTGGCAGCTTAAAACTCATGCCGGATGGATGTGTGTGGCTGCCCAAAATCCCAAGAGGAGAATAGAGGAGAAGGGACTGTGGTGTGGCCATCTTCTGGGGTGGAAGGGGTGAGGGGATTGATTTCTCGCTTTCTCTCTCTCTGTCTCTCCAGCGAGTTCACACGCCCTGTAGCAAAACTGGGAGGAAAAAAAACTACATGGGAGAAATGTATACCCAAAGACTCAAAAAATTTAAACAATTGCTAGAAGCCTTCTACAGCAGTTTACTAGCCTAGGGCTTGCATATTTAGATTTGCTAATGCTGCAAATTCTGCTTGACATTTTCCATCTAGGAATTCCAGTGTGCCTTTTGGGTTGGCTCATTTACCTTCATCACAGTCCTGTAGTAGAGGTGGGAAAATAAAAGTAAAATGATATTTTGCCCTAAACCTCCAAGTGAAATTTCATTCTAAAATAAAAAGGTTGCATGATTGATTACTAGAATGTGGTTATATAGCAGACTTATTTTCCCTCTAGGTCATATTGTCTCCTTAAAAAAAAAAATGTTTATACCAACCTTCTACTTTCATTTTAGAGGTGCCCTACTATACCTTAAAACATTTTCTTGAAGCTGATGGGATCCAAAATTGTACTAAACAACTCCTGGATCAAGAGGAGTTCCTTAGTGCTTACTCTGACCTGTAAAAAGCTGAGCAAGATTACTATCTGGATCAGCCTTGTCTAAATAGAATTTTTAACTTGGGAAAAAGTTTGGGAGGACAGGACTTCAGACAGAATCTGAAATTAATCAGAGGGTTGCTCTACTGAGATAGAGAGTTGCTTTAGGCTAGTCTTGCCTAAAATTGCAGTGGTATAGAGCTCCTCGGATGTCTTGGTTCCATTTCTTAGTTTAGCTATAAGATGTATACTAGATACAGAACCACGGAATGTGGGATCCTGTTTTAGCTAGGACAGTAAAGTAATGGTGAAACTGTACTTTTTGCAGTTTTTTTTTGTTTTTTGTTTTTTGGGTTTTTTTGAGAGGTTTTTGCTATAAGGCGCATGTGTTCACCAGAAAGACAGAGAGAGACAGAGAGACAGAAAGCAAGAAATCACCCTCCAGGGAGGATGGCCACGCCACAGTCCCTTCTCCATTCTGCTCTTGGGCACACATGCACACATATCTGGTGTGAATTTAAGCCACCGGGTCCGGGACTCAAACTACAGTTGACTACATGGGAGTCCAGCAATGTAGCCATTACACCATTGCTGGTTTCAATATTTTTATCTATTCTATTAAATTTACTATACTCATATCTTATGCCTGGCATATTAAAGTACCAGAAATTTTCAGTTTTTCCAATCCCATTACTTTCACCCCATGAGTTCATTGAGAAGTTATTTAGGTATTGAGTTCCTACCATGTTCTTAGGCACTGTTCTAGCTTGATCTTAGAACTAACCACTATCTATGCTTCAGAAATCCCACACTGTGGCCTAGTTACCTATGCAAGGTAGTCCTACCTTTTGTGTGACTCTTCGGAAAATGATATATTAATGACTCCATCCTTTTAGTTTCCTTATCTGCGAAATTGAACTCTTTTGCCTTCTGCCTGCTTATTTGAATTTGAAGTCAGAGCAGTATGCTAGTAAACGATATACTTGATTATTACTAACAATATGCTTATGTGTTAGTGTTTCTTATTTCTGAGGAATCTTACTGGGTATGAAATCGCAAACCAACGTATTGAACGAATATCAGTTACTGCTAAAATGTCTAATCTTCCCTTGTCTAAATAAGACTGCGTTCTTACAAATATTGTAGTTTAGACCTGTGTAAAGTTAAATGAATGTTTTTTAAATATGCATTGTTCTTAACCTCTTGCTTATGTTTTACAGCTCCGACTTGGCATTTGATCTGGAAGGATATGTTTTTATTCTGATAAATGATGTCCTGACAGCAGCAAATGGTGCATATGTAAAACAAAAATTAGATTCAAAAGTAGGTAGCAAGCTTCTTCACTAAAGCTTTACTAAAGCTTCTTTACCGATGTAGGGAATGGTAATGTCAGGTCTTCAGAGGAAAAGCAGGGGATAAAGAAGCACACTTAGGAGCAATGGGAAAGACACGGAGCTCTCTGAGGGTCAAATGCTTATACTTCGGTGCTTATGTAGGGAACTATTTTATAATTAATTAATTAGCATTTGCGTTTTGTTGCTGGCTTTTCTGGAAAGGACTATGAAGACTGACTGAAATGGGATGGGGAAACTAAGGAGTGTTTAGTAGAGAAGAGTTTTGTATGTGTTCCTGGCTGTGTTCAGTGCAGAAGTCCCTAATCCCTGGACCATGGACTGCCTGTGACCTCCTCCTCTTTTCTCCAGTCATGCAGGGAGTCGGGGGTTCAGAGGATGGGTGGGATGAGGAGGGACACATGTGGGAGAGTGGAGGTGGTGGGTTGCAGGCAAGCTCTGGAGGCTTTGTGTTTGCAGCTTCTCCCCATCACTTGTATTGCACTGGATTTTTATGGAAGTGCAAACCCTACTATGTGTGTGGTTGTTTCATTGTTGTATATTGCAATGTGGTAGTGGTGGGAATTGGGTGCACAATAGATGTGGTGCACTTGGGTCATCTTGGGATCAACCCTCCTTCCCCTTCTGCCCCTGTCTGTGGAGGGATTATCTTTTTTTTTTTTTTTTTTCTTTTTTCGGAGAGGTTTTTTGCTATAGGGTACATGTGCTCGCCAGAAAGACAGAGAGAAACAGAGAGACGGAAAGCGAGAAATCACCCCCCCTGGGAGGATGGCCACGCCACAGTCCCTTCTCCTCCATTTGTTTCTTGGGATCTTAAGCATGCATGCACATGCACTCAGCATGCCATCGGGTCCAGGACTCGAACTGCAGTCAACTAAGTGAGAGTCCAGCAACATAGCCATTAGGCCAACTGCCAGTCCCTGTCTTCTATGAGGCTGTTCCCTGGTGCAAGGAAAGCTGGAGACCGCTGTTCTAAAGGCCACAGTGAGGGACTTGAGATGGGAAAGAGAAAACGGAAAGCCTTTGTGTATGCTTGAAGAGACGAAAGTGTTGGAAGGGACTGTAGAACAAGGATGACCTTTGTGTATTTGCCCTACAAGTAATGAGGAACTTGAGGGGGCATTAGGATCTCTCTCTCAGACAACACTAAGTTCTCTGGCCCAGATCTCATACCTGTGAATTTTGTACATCCCCAGCTCTTTGCCTCTACTTGCAGCTTGCACACAAAGACTTCACAAGATTATGTTTGTTTGTTCACTATAAACCTCAAAGATAGTCAAATTAAATTTTTTATTTTGATCAAGCTAGACTATCAGAAAGCTGAGTACTTGAGCTACATTGCTTGTGCTACATTGTTACGAGGTTATATATATTGTAAGGAACAATTACATGGATATATATATATATAAATAATATGTATGGTTGTTGTTGTTCCTGATATTTAATGTATCCTTTATGAGGAGCGATATAAGTTATTTATGTTAAATGTCATCACAGTTTTTCTTGAGCAGCTGGGGATTTTTTATATTTTTTGGGAGAGATTTTCGCTATAGGGTGCATGCGCTTGCTCGACAGACAGACAGACAGAGACAGACAGAAAGTGAGAAATCACCCCCCGGGGGGATGGTCACGCCGCAATCCCTTCTCCTCCATTCTCTTCTCGGGATCTTGGGCACGCACGCACACGCGCCTGGCGTGAGTTTTAAGCCACTGGGTCCGGGACGCAAACCGCGGTTGACTACGTGGGAGCCCAGCGACATAGCCGTTACGCTAACTGCTGGTTCCCGCAGCTGGGGATTTTTTATCTTACTAAGTCTTATGATTGCCCATGGCTTTATTTTCCTATCCACGTTTTATCTTTAGTCAGTTGACTATCTGCTTAGTTCTTAATTGGCTGTATTATATGAATAGTATTTCTGGAACTACTTGGTGTCTACTTTGGAACTCAGGTCATAAATAAATACAAATGCCTTGTTTTCTTGATGGTAGTATTAGTATGGAGTTGGTGTCATCATGACCAGGGGCTTTGCCTTCTTCTCTAGAAAAGAAGTATAGATTGTATGTATGGCCATCCCAAATAGATTTCTTAATTCTCAAGAGCTTTTACTTTAATACTTGGAGTGCTAGGGACAGGGTAAATTTTTCTAATGCATTTTCTTTAAGTATGCCTTTTACATTTTGCCTTCCATTTATTTGCCTTGATGATGCTGGAGGAGAATTGCATTTGTAACTACTATGTACATTTTTTATCTTTTCTAAATAGCTATAGAAAGGAGAACAGAGAGTAGGATCTGTTTTATTTTAGCCCACTTGCTGCTCTGGAAGATAGATACTAATAATAACACTTCATCTACCCAACAACTTCATCTGTCCCAAACAGTATGTCCAGTGGAATTTTCTGTGAGGATGGGTATCTGCTGTATCTCTGCTGGCTTTAGTAGTAGCCACTAGTGACATGTGGCTGTTCAACACTTGAGAAGTGACTGGTACAACTAGGAACCGAATAGTTTTATGTAATTATTATTAAATTTAGATAGTTCTATGTGGCTAGTGGCTACCATACTGGACAGTGTAGTATATCATAGAACCTGGAAAAAATTAGAGGGGTTTCTGAGTATTTTATTCCTAGAAGTTTGTCACTCAGAAATGACTTACAACTTATTTGTAGAACTTTTTAAAACTCATTGGTGTACTTTTCCTGGTTCACAAATTAGAAGCAAAGAAATAGAAGGTGGGATTCTGTTTAGAGGCAGAGAGGCTACCCAACATTAGGAAAAGTCAGCTAACAACAGGAGAAACAAATAGGAAAGATATAAAGGTACAAATACTGAAGGAAAAAAAAAAATGGTGCAGGAGCTATTAAAACAGCATTGAGGGCAGTACCATACAAGAACATAATATATTAATGCATGTTTATGATGATGCCCTAAATCAAATTTTAGTCAGTCTACACTGCTTAATAAGGCAGGGAGAGGGCCAGTCCATAGCTCAAAGGTTCAGCCTTGTGCATAGAGAACTAGATCCCTCCATGGCTGGCTCTGATTGGAATACGGGCCCTAGTGACTTGAAAAATGTGCTGGACTTGTGGGCACATATGCCCAGAATCCTAATGGGATGGAGAAGTACAGAATAAGGGATTGTGGTGTGACCCTCCCATTGGGGAGTGTGTTTTCTCTCTGGTGAACACACATATACCCTTTCAATAAAAAAAGAAGAAAGATATCTTAAAATGTGGAAGGAAAAAATAGCAATTTTGACATTTATGTTTTGGTTGTTGGTTGTCTGGGTAAGTGTCTGTGAGTATGTGTTCGTGTGCCGTATTGGTCCACGACTGCACTGCTGACAGAAATACCCAAGACTGAGAATTTTTAAAAATAGAGATTTATTTGACTCACAGTTTTGGTGACTAGAAAGTCACAGACGTCACTAAATGATGGAAGATAGAACTTTATGCAGAGCAGAGCATAATCTGTCTCCATGTGTATTTCCTAGTCTCATTTCTTGTTTTTTAGAACTCAGTCATGGGGGCCCCACCCTCATCACTCACCGAATCACCATTCTTTAACCAAAGGCCACACCTTTGATGCCATAATCAGATTTAAGTTTTCACCATATGAATTGGGGGTGAGTGGGGGGCATATTCGAACCAAGTATATTCCTATCCTGTTTCCTGGATAATACTGAGGTCTCTAGCTGACTGGGCACCCATTCTTAAAGGTGGTTTTGTTCTACCATGGTTTTTTTCCTTTGGTTGTATACAAATGAGGCACACCTTTTTGTTGATGCTTGCGGTGACCATAAGCAATCAGTTATGTGGTTTATTCTAGAGGCAGGATAGCCACACTGAGATGCTTATAATGGCTTGAGTTTTATTACCTATAATTTCAGGACTGCTTGTAATCGTGGTCATTTGGGTATGAATCATATGACTTAGTGCTTCATTTCGGACCTGAAAGCAGCTATTGAATTAAAGATAGGGGGCGAGGAGCCTGTTGCATGGGAGTTAAGGTGACTGGATCCCACATGATTGATCATGCAGTTTGAGTCCTGAACCTGGAAGCTTGAGAAACACACCAAGGGTATGTGTGCATGTTCCCACAATCCTGAAAGGAGGAAGAATTGAAAGAGAAGGATTGTGCCATGGCCATGCTATGTGGGGAATGCTCTCACTTTCTCCCCTTTGTCTGTCTTTCTCCAGCAAGAGCACATGCCTACTGGCAAAATTTAGAAAAAAAATTTTTTTACTCTGATTTACTTTTAATAATATTTTTAATTCAGGCCAGCTTGTGATGTGGTTAAAGAGCTGGATCCCAAATAGCTACTGTGTGGTTCAAATTACAGACCTAGCGAGTTGAAAAAAAACTCCAGGCGTGTGTGTGTGGTGTGTATGAGTCCCAAATCTTGAAAATAATTTTTTTTTTGAGAGAGATTTTTGCTATAGGGCATGTGTGCTCACTGGAGAGACAGAGAGTGACACGGAGACAGAATGTGAGAAAGCACCGCTCTGGAGGGAATGGCCACACCGCAATCCCCTCTTCCTCCATTGTCCTCTTGGGATCCGGGCACGCGTGAACATGTGCCTGGTGTGAGTTTAAAGCCACCGGGTCCAGGACTCAAACCATAATCGGTCATGTGAGAGTTCAGTGATGTACCCATTATGCTATCTGCTGGTCTCAAAAATAAAAATATTTTTAAAAAAGTTTTACCAGAGGGTATGTGTGCTGACTAGAGACACAGAGAGATAGGGAAAGTGAGAAATCACCCCCCACCTCCCATGGGGCATGGTCACACTGTAGCCCTTTCTCCATTTCTTTCTCATTTCAGGATTTTTAGTATGTGTGCACGTGCACTCGGAATGTTTCTCAAGCCGCTGGATCTGGGGCTAAAATGGCGCAGTTGGCCATGTGGGATCCAGCTTCTTCAACCACCACACCACAGGCTGGCCTGAATTAAAAATATTTTAACTTAAAAATAAATCACACAAAATCATACACACTTATGATAGAAATAGTAGAAGTCATAGGGAAGTAGAGGGAATACAAATCTCCCTTAATCCTCCCAAGCGAGAAGCTTTGTTCTAGTGGCTGTTCTTTATTTGGGGTTTGTGTGTGTGTACTTCTATGTCAAAATTTTAAGCCACAGAGGGAGCATATATCATTTCTAACTTAAGTTTTTCATTTGGTACTGTTTTATGGACACCTTTCCAAGTCAGTCTGCATCATTAAAATTGTAGTGGCTGTGTAATGTTCATTGTATAGCTGCATAATAGTCTAATCGATTTTCTGGTACTAGGTAGCTCTTTTTGCATTTTTTCAAAGCTGTGTTTGAGAAGGTAGTTTCACTTTTCACATCATTCCATGATCTTTCAGTCATAGAAGTTAGGCAGATATCACACTCCTATTCTCAACTCTCCCCTATACTCCCTTCCTTGCCTCACAAACTATGACCTACTTTTTCTGTTTCTTATTTTATGTCCCAGAAGTATGTGAATCAAATGAACAAGTTCTCATAAGCTCCTTGTGTTTGAAGATATGTGTTATCCTTCTTTATTTCCCAGTAACTGAGGGCACAACTAGTCCTACTGTGTTCTAGGAGTTGTAGTCACAGTAATCTCAAACTTCATCCTACTTCTCCTTTTCCGAAATACTAATACTTCACTAGGAAGCACCGCGTTGGTATAGCTGTGAGTCGGGGTGTGTCTGGATCTGCCTGTCCATCTCTTAAATGGCACTCTGCTGTGTTTCTGAAATGTCCAAGACTAGCTGAGTGACTCTCGATTCAGTTCTGGAGACAGAAGGGCTTCTGGGCCGTAGATGTGTGTGTGTATTCAAAGAAACCCTTACTTGCTGTTTTGAGGCAGCCAGTAGATACCGTTTTTATATTTCTCATCTGAGGCATGTGAGGAATGTATTTCATATATGTTTGAAATCTTCTAAGTTTATCATCTTTATTGGTCTTTGGAAAGTTTAGAGTAGTTCTTAATGTTTGCAAATACTCTGACTTGATTAATTTGCCGTATGTGTTGCGTGGGGGTATGTGTGTACTTACTTGTAATTGGGGTGGTCCTCTGTGCAGGGTTGTGTATGTATTTTTCTCCTTGAACCAGATGAAGTGTCTAATTGTTTCCTCTCCTAGGAGCTGGGAAAATATGGCCTGCTCTATTACAACGCACTGTTCATGATTCTGCCAACCCTAGCCATTGCATATGTCACAGGAGATGCACAAAAGGTGGGACTTTATCATTACGCTTTAAGACTTATGCTGGCAAATTGCATTGTTATTTATGACCAGAAAATGAACTTTGGGATTGTTTAAAAAAACATGTGCTTATAAGTGGCCAAAGAACAGAATTGACTCTTTAGCTTGTTAATGTCATGCTAACCTTTTTTCCTTGGCATAATCATTGGATAGAACCAAAATGCTCAAAATAGCTCTGGCCATCAACATAAAAATAGAGCAGGTTAACTGGTGTCCTTTTCTTCTGTGCCAGGTTAGAGGAAGGGAATTTTTGCATTTCTGCCAAACTATAAAATAGAAATAGTAGCAAAATAACCTTGAGAAGCAAACAAACAAAAAATACTGAAATAGTGAAAATCCACAGACCCTAAACAAAATGCAAGGCATCACTTGAAGTTCTCTGTTTTAGTGAATAATTAACATTCTGGCTTAAGTCTCAAACGTTTTTTCCCTCCCTTTCCTCCCTCTCCCCTCCCTTAGCAGATATTTTATACTGTGTGGTTATGCAGTCATATGAATAGCAACTTATATAGCGTTAGGGTGATCTGTGTCATAGGCTGTGAAAGAATTTATAGACTCAGGGACCAGCAGATGGTATAATGGCTGCGTTGCTGGACTCTCACATAGTCAATAGTGATTCGAGTCCTGGACCTAGCAGCTTAAAACACACCAGGTGCATGTGTATGCATGCCCAAAATCCCAAGAGGAGATTGGAGGGGGAGGATTATGGTGTAGCCATTCCCCCCAGGGGGGTGATTTCTCGCTTTCTATCTCTCTCTCTTCATCTCTCCAGTGAGCACATGTGCCTATAGCAAAACCTCTGTAAAAAAGAAAAGAATTCACAGAAGCAGAGAGTAAGTGTGTAGAAAAAGGTTTACTCACTTTCTAATAGGGAGGAAAGGGACCAGATGCTTACGGTTGCAAGGGCCCTGATGGGTAGGGCCTAGGGACTTTTAAAGGAAAGGGACTTAGGGTGGGATGATTAAGGTGGTCTTAAGATAGCATTCCCAGTGATCTTTTAAACATCTGGGTTGTTCAGTTGTTATCGCTGGGTAAGTTAGTCATCTGCAGCCCATCTTTCTTCCCTCTTTTAGGGTCCCTGTCTCCTACCTCATTTTCAGGTGGAAATCTTCCTCTGATCCCCAGGGATTCCCCACTAGGGTATGTCCCTTCTCTCTGGACCACCCAGACCAGGTTTGACCTATTAGGCCTTTCTCCCTGCCCTGCCAAGGGCACTTAAAATTGCATGGGGACCAGCAGTTAGCATAATGGCTATGCCGCTGGACTCCCATGTAGTCGACCACAGTTCGATCCCCAGACCCGGTGGCTTAAACTCACACTGGGCACATGTGTGTGCATGCCCAAGATCCCGAGAGGAGAATGGAGGAGAAGGGATTGTGGCGTGGCCATCCCCCCTGGGGGGTGATTTCTCACTTTCTGTCTCTCTGTCTCTCTCTGTCTTTCTGGTGAGTGCATGCACCCTATAGCAAAAACCTCTTAAAAATAAATAAATAAATAAAAATGCCTGAGAGTTTGTCTTCCCTGAGCTAAGTGCAAGATAAGAGACAAATATCCATCGGTTGATCCCTAAGGAAGAAAATGTGTCTAAGGCATCTAGAGAGCCTTGACTGTGCCCCCTCCTGTTAAAATACCTGGGAGGTACTGAATGTGTCCTTTCATATAATAGTTTACCAATTTTTTGCAAATGTTTAGCTAAATAAATCCAAAAGACAGTAGCAAAATAAATCTATGAAAGAATTTTTTCTAAAATGAGCCCACTTTCACAGAAGAAAAATTGATATTATATGGTCAGAATTTACGATATTTTGCAAATAAATAGAAACCCAGAATTCTGTTCACGGGACCAGCAGTTAGCGTAATGGCTATGTCGCTGGACTCCCATGTAGTCGACCGCAGTTCAAGTCTTGGACCCGGCAGCTTAAACTCAGGCCGGGCACGTATGCGTGCGTGCCCAAGATCCCGAGAGGAGAATGGAGGAGAAGGGATTGCGGCGTGTTCATCCCCCCGGGGGGGTGATTTCTCACTTTCTGTCTCTCTGTCTCTCTTTCTCTGTCTGGCGAGTGCACACGCCCTATAGCAAAAACCTCTCCAAAAGAAAAAAAAAAAAAAGACAGAATTCTGTTCAGGATGTCTGTACCACAGTTCCTTCTATTGATTCCTCTGACCAATTATTGAGAATATGTTGGCTATTTATTCTAATGACAATGACAGTTCCTACAAATCAGTGGGAGCAGAAATGAAAGATTTTAGAAAACAGACGGTTGAAAAGTTGTTCTTGGGGTCAGCCCGTGGTCTGGTGGGTCTGTGAGCTGAATCCCACATGTGTAGCTTGAGTCCCAGACTCAGTAGCTTGAGAAGCATAACAGGGTGCATGTGCACGCATGCCCCAAATCCCAGAATGAGGCAGAAATGGGCAAGAAATGATTATGCTGTGATCTTTCCCTGTGGGGAGGTGCTTTTTCATTTTCCTTCTCTTGTTTTCCTTCTCTCTCTCTCTCTCCATTGAGTATACACACCCTCTGTCAAAAGGAAAAAAAAATGGTTTTTGAACCTAAGCCAGGAGACTGACCACTTAAGCCGCCCCCTTCCCAATCAAGACCTCTTTTAAAGAACTGGCACAGATCATCTTGAGTAAATGTGTATAAATGTTTTAATTCATTATGACCTGGTTGCAGCAGGCCTAAAAATGACACCAAAGTAGGAAATAGAGCTATTGCTCTAATAAAGAAATGTTGAATAGGGACTCTGTGACTGTGAGAAAAGTGGAAAAGGAAACTAATGACAGTTGAGTCCCTGTATGTAAAAAAAGGTAATCTTCATAACAGCTCTAGAAAGTTTCATGATCCCTGTTTTACCAATGTGCAAGTAAAAGTTCAGAGAGACTAAGTAATTGCCCAAAGTCATAGGGTTGCTGGGTAGCAGAGTCAGGATTTAAATCCATGTCCGACTCCAAAGTCTGGTCTTTCAAGAAAGGCCATGATCTTTCTGCCTACTTCTAGTAACTCTGGCATAAAAACCCTCTCTCTTCAACCTTGGGGCAAGAATGTGGTGTAAAATAGCCAACTCCATCATAGCAGGACAGATGGCTACAAATCTCCAGGCTAATCTGTACATGAGAAAGTTGGAAAAATTAATGTGGTGAAGGACTGTAAACACTTAGCAAAGATGGAATTTTCACTAAGCTGAAACCTTGATGAGTAGCTTGTAGCTACTTGAAAGAATTTACGAAAGGAGACATTTCCTCATTCCAGAGCGATGATAATTTACATAGAAGTTATAGCATAATTCATGCATATTTAAAGGTCAGTAACTCGCATTCAGTTCGGGATGCTTCAATAAAAGAATGTTTTTTATTTAAAAAGATTTTTTTCCCCTAGTTTTTGATATAGAGTATGTGCAGTCGCTAGAGAAAGAGAGAGAGAAGAAGTGAAAATCACCCCCTGGGGGGATGGCCATGCCACAGTCCCTTCCCTTCCATTCTCCTCTTGGGATTTTGGGCATGCATGCACATGCACCTGGTATGATTTTCCAATCATTGGGTCTGGGACTCAAGCTGCAGAATAGGTCGCGTGGAATCTAGCACCTTAACCTTTATTTATTTATTTATTTTACACGTTTTAAATTTACATTTAATCCCTGTACATCTTTACAGTGTACAAAATGGTTGTTCTCAGCATGAATGTAGTGCATATCAATCTATATAACCATATAGAATTTTTTTTGTAGTGTAAAATGTTACTTTGTCACATGAGATTTAGATTTTCCTCTTTCATTTTTAAGGAGAGAAGTGGAATTTGCATAGTATTTTTTTTCCCCCAATGAAAGTACCAGACATAAAAAGTCAAAAAAAGTCTTATTTCGGGAGTTAGTATAATGGCTATGTTGCTGAACTCCCATGTAGTCTACCACAGTTTGAGTCCCGGACCCAGTGGCTTAAACCCACGCCAGGCGCGTGTGCGTGCATGCCCAAGATCCCTAGAGGAGAATGGAGGAGAAGGGATTGTGGCATGTCCATCCCCCCTGAGGGGTGATTTCTCACTTTCTATCTCTCTGTCTCTCTGTCTTTCTGGCGAGCGCACACTCCCTATAGCAAAAAA